ATAAAGATACACAACATATCCCTCCAAACTGCCAATATCCCAAACCCCTCCTTTAAAGTGCAGGCATTGTACTTCCCATTTCCAGGACTCAAGTCCGACTATATGAAAATAACCGGTTTCCCTGAATCCCTTCACTAAATATTACCCTGCTCACACTCCAACAGATCGTCAGGTCCCAAGTACCATTCGTCTCCATTCACTCCTATCTAACACGCTCACGCACGCTTGCTGGAAGTCCAAGCCCCTTACCCACAAAACCTCCTTTATTTATTTATATTTATATTGTTTATTATGTCATGTTAGATGAATACATGTAAATGTACCAGTGTCGGAAATAAAAGAATCGCAGTTACTAGGGAACCAAAGTAGAAAAAGTGTTATGCTCAGATTTCACACACAAGACAGGAACAAAGATCTAATAATTTCATCTATTAAAGCAAAAAAAGATATATACATAAATGAGTGTCTCACAAGAAAACGACACAACCTCCTGTACAGAGTGAGAAAGCTAAAACGTGATAATAATGATAAAATTCACCAGTGCTTTGTACGTGATGGACAAATTCTAGTAAGAAAAACAAATGTAGGCTGGGTGTACTACATTACAAATGAAAATGAACTAGCAAACTTCCTTCATGATGCAAACATTACAGAGTCTGACTGATATTAGTGACCAAATCCTTACTACGTTAGTGTATGTTATTATGTCATTACTGAACTAATCCCTGTACTATCACCTCCTAGATAGTATTTACTACCTCATTATCCGAGGTGTCCCACACAGTTCTTTGTGTGACCCAATTTGTGTTATCTTCCCAGATTCCCAATTCACAATTTATTTTTTGTTAATAGGGTACTTACTCTTTAATAATATCTTTATTACCTTTTTCTTTCCTACTTAAGCACTGTTAAATTCTCTTATAATCATACCTAATTTTCCCTTTTCTCCTAAATTACTAGTGTATGTTCCTACTACACTACTGTGCAATACCTTGAACCATCCCTCACTAGCTAGTATCAACTACCTCAAATAATATTCCTTTTTTTTTTTTTTTTTTAAACAAGTTGGCCATCTCCCACCAAGGCAGGGTGACCCAAAAAGAAAGAAAATCCCCAAAAAGAAAATACTTTCATCATCATTCAACACTTTCACCACACTCACACATTATCACTGTTTTTGCAGGGGTGATCAGAACACAACAGTTTAGAAGCATATACGTATAAAGATGCACAACATATCCCTCCAAACTGCTAATATCCCAAAACCCCTCCTTTAGAGTGCAGGCATTGTACTTCCCATTTCCAGGACTCAAGTCTGGCTATATAAAAATAACCGGTTTCCTGAATATTCCTATAATGATATTAATTGCTCAAACTTTATGCTACAAGGCAAATCCTACTCTCAGATTATTTTCATATCTTAGTGACTATATTGTGTGTGCAATTAGTGTATATTTCAATTACATTATTGTTCAAGGCCCAAAACTATCTTTTGCTAGCTACTACCAACTACCTCATATTATTTTCACTTTTTATAGTACAATAAATTGCTCAACTTATTATATATAACAAATCAGATGTTACTCCCAAACCAATATTGTATCTTAGTTACTATCTGCCAATTTAACTCTGTTTACCATTATTTAATTTAGTCCCTTTATATTTTCTCCTTTATTTTAGCTTTATTTTAACTTTACATAACAACCTTAGTTCATATATTCACAATTGTTAAAATAATCAAGGTGCTATTCTCAGGTGCTAAAGTGTAATAAGTTCACTATTTTGCCATTATATTCCCTAGCTCATTTATTTGATTACCACTTTATTTGCTCACCACAATTTTTTTTTAGTCCCTTTTATATTGTCTCCTTTATTTTAGCTTTAAAGAATTACCTTAGCTCAAATTTTTACATTTGTTAATATAACTCGGGTGCTATTTTATAGCTTTAGAATATTTACTTTGTCTTATACTTAATTCTAACTAAAGATTCACTATAAATCTTATGATAACAAGCATTGATCCTGATACCAACCTCTTAATGAATGACTTAAATGAATCAAACAGTTACTGTAATTACTACACAGCAGAACAATCAAAGGCACTTCTCAGAGCCAACAAAAACATAACTGTCTTTAAATAAAACATCAGATCTTTAGGTAAACATTATGATGACCTCATAGCATTACTAAATTCCCTGCATGCCAGTATATCCATCATTACTCTCACCAAAACCTGGCTAAAGTCTGATACTACAGATGTCTATGCCATTCCTGGTTACACAGCCATACACAACTGTAGGACAGATCAACAAGGGGGTGGCACAGCTATATACTACTCAGACCAACTAGAATGTATCATTAATACTTGCACAAGGGATGAACATGGGGAATATATAATAGCTAAATTCAAATCCAAACACCTACAAAAACCTCTCACAGTGATAAACATCTACAGAGTACCACAGTCAAACATTAGCCGTTTTAGTGAAAACCTAGGAAGTATGATAATTGATGCACGCATGAACAAAGATCACTTACTACTCTCAGGTGACTTCAATATAAATATCCTGCAGACCAGGACCCACATGTTACTGAATTCACAAACACTATGAGTAACTGCTTGTTGCTACCAGCAGTAACAAAACCTACAAGAGTTACAGAGACTAGTGTTTCCCTACTAGACCACATCTGGACCAACACCATATTCCCTTTAAAATCAGGCATAATCACAGATAATACCACAGATCACTACCCTACCTTCCTCATAACAAATCTTGGCAAATTACCCCAAGACACTACTAAAGTCACTTTCAGACTTCACAATGAGGCAGCCATTAATAACTTCACAGCAGCAGTGACAAACATTGAATGGCACATTGAGCTAGAAATCTATACAGATAATGACGAATGCATTAATAATTTTCTAAAAAAAGACCCAATACCTCTATAACAAGCACTGCCCCAAAAAACTAAACAGATGACAGTTAAGAGACTGAACAGTCCTTGGCTAACACCCAGCATCCTCAAATCCATAAATACAAAGCACTTATACGAAAAACAGTACAGAATGGGTCACATAACCAGAGACCAAACAAAACGTTACTCATCAATCCTAACCAGCCTGATAAGAAGGGCTAAAAAACTTTATTATGAGAACACATTATCCAACTTACGAGGTGATATAAAAAAGACCTGGAAAACCCTATCAGAAATTCTAGGAACAAAAATTATATCACGAAATAGCGAAATTGAATTAACAAAACCAGATGAACCCCAACTCCCACCAACTGAAACAGCAAACAGACTTGATAATTTCTTTTCCACTATAGGAAAAAAACCTTGCCAATAAAATCCCAAGCTCAGATACCCCACCCAATGACTACCTCACTGGCAACTACCCAAACACACTGTTCCTAGCTCCAACTAACCCTACTGAAGTCTCCCTTATTATCAACACACTAAAAAACAAGACAGGAGATTTAAATACCTTACCACCCTTCATATACAAAAAAATTTCCAAGACCGTAGGCATACTATCGAAGATACGGTACTATGTTCCACAGTCAGCCCTCCTGGCCCTATATCACTCACTTATTTACCCCTATCTCACCTATGGAATTTGTGCATGGGGCTCAACAACAATAAACCATCTCAGACCATTAATTACCCAACAAAAGGCTGCAGTCAGAATGATAAATTCCCACTACATGCAGCACACTCCACCAATATTCAAAACTCTAAACCTACTCACCATACAAAACATCCATACTTATTACTGCACCTACTACATACATAGAACACTTAACTCTGATATAAACCCTCCCCTCAAATGTCTCCTTACCAACCTCAACAGAACACATGACCATAACACAAGGCACAGATCACTCTTTGATGTTCGTGTCCATCTCACGCTATGCAAAAACTCAATGCACATAAAAGGCCCTAAAATCTGGAATTCATTACCTGTGAATATAAAAGAAACACTGTCTGTTTATAAATTCAAGTCTCTTCTCAAAAATCACTTACTCACCCACAACTAAATAAATACATGTACTGAATAATTCTTTCTTTCTTTCAACACACCGGCCGTATCCCACCGAGGCAGGGTGGCCCAAAAGGAAAAACGAAAGTTTCTCCTTTTACATTTAGTAATATATACAGGAGAAGAGGTTACTAGCCCCTTGCTCCCGGCATTTTAGTCGCCTCTTACAACACGCATGGCTTACGGAGGAAGAATTCTGTTCCACTTCCCCATGGAGATAAGAGAAAATAAACAAGAATAAGAACTAGAAAGAAAATAGAAGAAAACCCAGAGGGGTGTGTATATATGTGCTTGTACATGTATGTGTAGTGTGACCTAAGTGTAAGTAGAAGTAGCAAGACGTACCTGAAATCTTGCATGTTCATGAGACAGAAACTGAATAATTGTACCTCATAAATTGTATCTCATGTTTCTCATTATTGTATCTCATAAACCTGTGACCCAATCAAACTTTGTTTTTTTTTTAAATACATTACCTAACAGAATACTCCATTCTATTGAATGCACAGCAACACAGTAAATGACCATATGACCTGTCTTTGTAATACTCATTTGTGCTAAATTGCTTTCTGTTTACAATAATGTTTTTACCACTGAATATATCATTGCTTAGTTAATCTTAAGTTAATTTTAAGCCTGCCCATTATGCTCTGCATACAAGGGGCTTTGGCATGTTACACTTTAATAACTGTATTCCTTTGTACTTCTCTGTATCATGTTCAAATTAATAAATAAATAAATAAATAAGCCGTAGAGTTGATATTAGGGTTATTTTGTCACGCCTCCTGAGAGCAGGAATTCAGCTGGAACAAATTACTAATTGGATTTCAATTAATTTAAATGAGGAAAATTGACCCAGCATACGAACAAATCAGGATACGAACAAGTCCACGGAACGGATTAAATTTGTAAGCCGAGGTTCCACTGTATATCGCAAGAGTGAAAAAACTGGACTCACCGCTTGGGCAGCTATCTTTTCCCAATCCATTTTAGCTCCTCGTTTGGGCCTGATGTTTTCCGAAGGCGTCTTGTGCAGAACATCAATGCAACTTTTACATTCTTTTATTTCTTCATCTAGAGTTTTGACCTGAAATATACAGTGTGAATGAGAACCACAGACAGATTAATATAGAGACAGCTCCTTCAAGAGTAGAAACACTACATGCAGGACAATGTTTCACTCACATGATGGGCTTTTCACAAACAGATGTTTGCATTGATAAAGCCCATCATGTGAGCAAAATATTGTCAATAAAAATCACATTAACTGCATTTATTTTCCACCACATGAGCATTTTAAACCGTTTTGCTCCATCTACATTTACAACTCTTCATACCATTAAGAATCTTTCTTTCTTTAATTCATTCACTTTCCTTTCTCTATTACCCAATACGTGGAAGGCAAAGTGCTGACAAGACAGGTAATATACACACCCTTAGAGCTGAGCAAGCCTTCATTAAAATAAAATCTCTCTCAAGACACAATCACTTTAGGACATGTTTAATAGAAACATTACAGTCCTGGGACCTTGATCACTCCTGGGATCAAGGTTTTAGGATTAAAAATGTTTCTATGACAATAAAAGAAAATAAAAATCTAGGACTTTCATTTTTCTTTTCAGGTCACCCTGCCTTAGTGGGATACAGCCAGTTTGCTGAAAAAAAAAAATCTAGAAACACAGCAGTAGTCCTATTGGGCCATATATATGGCAGATCTGTTTTAAATCCAACCTTTCTCACCACATATCTGTTTAACCTACAAGAACAGCTACCTAAGAAATTAGTTTCAATAATCCTAATAACCCCTGTTTTTCAGGTCCTACTTAAATCCAACCCTTCTCACTCATACTTGTCTAACCTATTTTAAAGTTACCCAGAGTGGTTACATATTGTACCTTTTCCACCACCTGTCAACATCATATACCTTTGCCTCCAATTTCTCTTAAGAAGAGCTTTAACAAGTTACGACTTGACAAAACTCCTTACCTGGAGGGTATTCCGGGGATCAACACTGACGGCGCGGTCCACGACCAGGCCTTCCGGTGGATCAGGGCCTGATCAACCAGGCTGTTACTGCTGGCCACACGCAGTCCAATGTACGAACCACAGCCCGGCTGATACAGCACCAACTTTAAGTATCTGTCCAGCTCCCTCTTGAAGGCAGCCAGGGGCCTACTGGTAATTCCCCTTATGCATGTGGGAGGATACTGAACAGTCTTGGGCCCCAGACACTTAGGGTGTTTTCTCTTAGTGTACCACTGGCACCCCTACTTTTCATTGGGGGTATTTTGCATTGCCTGCCCAGTCTCTTACTTTTGTAGGGAGTGACTTCTGTGTGCAGATTCGAGACCATTCCTTCTAGGATTTTCCAAGTGTAGATTATGATATATCTCTCTCACCTGCATTCCAAAGAGTACATGTCTAAGTGCTTCCAAGCATTCCCAGTAGTTGAAGTGTTTGATAGGACTTGTGCAGTAAAAATTCTCTGTACTCTCTCAAGATCTGCAATTTCACCTGCTGTGAACAGAGACGTTAATGTACAATAATATTCCAGCCTAGAGAGAACAAGTGATTTGGAAAGGATCATCATTGGCTTGGCATCTCTTGTTCTAAACATTCTCATTATCCATCCCATCATTTTCTTTGCAGTTGTGATCGTGGCACTGTTGTGATCCTTGAAAGTGAGATCCTCAGACATTACCACTCCCAGGTCCTTCACATTATTAAGTGAAGCATTACAGCCTCTCCTCACTTACCGACATACTGTACTTGTTTACCGACAACTTGGAGTTACGACAGGGCTCTCCCACTAGTCAGTTTTGTATGCCATACAAGAACCTGGGTCATGGAAACAGGCAGCCCATTGCACTACTGTGCTGTTATCTATATAAACAATTTTCTTGTGAGTGGAACACTACAAACACAATATGGAGACTTCTTGTATTGAGAAGCACACATGAATGTTGAGATGTGTATAACAAACTGAATTAAAGAAAAAAAAAAAAAAAAAAAAAAAGAGATGTTCAAAAGACAGAAAAAGTCCAGCAGAAACACTGATGGTCAGTGTTTCTTTTTCAGTCACACTACCTCGGTGGGAGACAGCCAGTGTAAAATTAAAAAAAAAAAAAAACTCATTGAGATAATAAAGCATGTGAGAATTGGATGATAATCATGTTTGATCCAAAGGGTTACAAGCTTTAACTTCATGGATCAAAGACCCTTCACCAGCACTGATGCACACCCTTGGAAGAGTGCCAAGCGAGCAAAACATTTAATCAGTTTTTTCCTCACTTATAGCACAGGACAGAGGTAAAGTATTGAACCTCCTTACAAGGCAGCTCTCTCTCATCCTGCCATAGTGTTAAGTATATACAACCTTAGTAACCAACCATCCCAACATTCTCCTCAGCTACCATGTTTTCATGCTTGTGTTGCAACAACATTAACTTGCCAACTTACCATCTTATCGTTCTGCTCGGCCACCATGTTCCGTTGCTTGCGCTCCAACTCTCGTAATTTTGAGTTCCAAGTCTTGATCTTGTACTCCTTCCACTCCTTCAGGACTACATTCTCCAGTGTCTCACCCTCACTTACCATCCCTGAAAAATATCACTGTAAAGTATAAGCAAATCTTATTTTAAGTTATTAACCCTTTGACTGTCGCAACCCCCAATCCTGAGGTGTCTCCTGGTGTCGCAAAATTTAAAAAAAAAAAAAAAATTTTTCTTATGAAATGATAGAGAATCTTTTCCTGATTGTAAAGACACCAAAAAAAACAAAATTTGGTGGAAAACTGATGGAATTATGCTCTCGCGAAGTTAGCGACCTCGGCGATATTTACAAATCAGCGATTTCGCCCACTTTGAGCCCTATTTTCGGCTAATTCCATTATTCCAGTCAACCAAACTCATAGCTATTTCTTCAGAACTCCATTTTTTCTATTGATTGAGTACAAGAAACTGCCCATTTACCGATTTCAACTACCCAATAACGTGGTCAGAAATTTGCAATTTGGCCAATTTCACGAAAATTAAAAAATATGACGATTTCAAAATAAGGACCAGAATGAACAATGCAGACATTCCTGGCTCTAAAATAACATTTTCATTGTTCATCAGTCATATCTCCAGCCTCTCTGATATTACTCTTGCTTTTTATTTTGAAATTTTATTCAAACAAAAAATAGAAGATTTACTGTTATGCAGACTACTGCAATACTGTAATAATTGTATAAATAACATCAACCCATTCATAACTGCATATTAGAATGGCTATTTGGACATTTATTGGACAATGACATCATTTGTTTACTTTTGAACTTTGGCAAAAATCAAACATTTCCCATAATTTGTGCTCCATTTCCAGGTTCTTTTTATAGCAAAATCAATCAAAATCACCTCTATTTCTATAATATATTTTCCATTCTATCAAATGAGACCAAGAAAACGAGAATACAATCATAAATACTATACGAAAATAGACCACAAAGTCGGCATTTTAATTAAAAAAAACGGTCGGAGTTTTTTTTTTCTCATTATGCACTGCATGCTCCAGGATTTTTTTTATATGGTGCACACTGACCACACAGACCCATTCTCTCACATGTGGGCCTACTAGCTTTCTCCTGCTTGATTTGAAGCTGCTAGAATTTATGAGTATATATACGTCAAACACGGTACCTCGTAAGACGTATATATACGGCCGCGACAGTCAAAAGGTTAATATCCACATTGAAAAATAAGATGACAAATTTCCCCTCCCCCCAAAAAAGCATCTGCAAACTCATAACAGTATTATCAACAAAACCTTGCCTGGCCTTAATCAAACCTGCACCTTGTAGATTAAGAACTAACATAACCTGCACTCTGAAGCATTGGTGAGTGAGGACTTTGCAATGAAGAGGGCCATGTTCGTGTGAACTATGATGTCTGCACACCTCTAGCTAGACACCCAATACACCAATATTGGCTAATGGATTTCCTTCACTGAGTCTCACTACTTCGATAGCAAATGAATGATGTAGTACAAGGAAAAAAATAATCATTGCCTCATCCCAACTTGATCACAGACAAACAAGGTAAAGACATTTAATAATAGTCTGCTTAAAAAATTAAAATAATCAGTGATGATCATCATATGTATCATTCATCACTGCTTGCAATAATGAGGAAAATGATGGAAGTTAAGCTAAAAATAAAGTAAGACTAATAACAGATTACCAAAATGTGTACAATATTTAAGAGGTGCCACACACAAGCACTGTAATAACTGCGGTAATCCATCATTGAAAGATGAATTCTAAACATCTTTTCTAACCTGGTAGATCATTTTATTACAGTATATTCTTGGAGAAGCACTTAACCCTTATGAGTCATGGGAGCCCCTCTGAAATTATTATACTGATTGGAGAAGAATATATAGTGCCTGGGAAATTACTACTATTCTTTTCAAAGGGAAGTGCTAAAACAACAGAGATCATACAGTATCTGGGGAATGGGAAACAATCTGGTCTGATCCAAGGAAGGGCAGTTCCAATAATTCACATATTAAATAGTATAAGTCAGCACAACCTGTATCGGAATGTTTTCTTCCTGAAGCACCCTAAAGCCTCAATTTAATTAACCCTTTGAGGGTCGAGAGCCTCAATCTTGAACTCCCACTGGAGACCGAAAAATACATGTATTCGAAAAAAAAAAAAAAATTCTTATGAAATGATAGAGAATCTTTTCCCAATCGTAATGACACCAAAAGTATGAAATTTGATGGAAAACTTATGAAATTATACTCTTGTGAAGTTAGCGGTCTCGACAATATTTATGCATCGGTGATTTTGCCCAATTTGAGTCCTATTTTTGGCCAATTCCAATATTCCAGTCGACTAAAATCATAGCTATTTAGCTAGTATTCCTTCCCTTCTGTCGTTTGAGTACACGAAACTGCCCATTTACCAATTTCAATTACCCAATAAAATGGTCAGAAATTGGCAATTTGGCCAATTTCACACAAATTTCAAAAGATGCCAATTTCAAAACAGGGTCCAGGATAAACAAGACAGACATTCCTGGCACTAAAGTAACATATCCTCTGTTCATTAGTCACATCTCCAAGCCCCTCTTATATTACTCTTGCTTTCCATTTTGAATTTTTATTCTCACGAAAAATAGAAGATTTACTGTTATGAAAACTACTTCATTATTGTAAAAACAGCATAAATAATATCAGCACACTTGTGAAAGAATACTTGACTCACTAACTGACGCGTATTTAGACGTGCGGCTTGATTTGTTTATTCTCGAACATCGGCAAAAATCGAACATTTCCGCTACTTTGAGCTTAATTTCAAGGCATGTATTTTTCATTGTGAAACCAATCAAGATCATCTCTATTTCTATAACATATCTTCCATTCTATCAAATGAGACCATGAAAACTAGAATACAACCATAAATACCATACAAAAATACACTGCAAAGTCGCTGTGTTAACCCTTAAACGGTCCAAACGTATATATACATATATATATACGCGTAGCGCCCCAAACGTACTTTTTTTTTTTCAACAAGTCGGCCGTCTCCCACCGAGGCAGGGTGACCCAAAAAAAGAAAGAAAATCCGCAAAAAGAAAATACTTTCATCATCATTCAACACTTTCACCACACTCGCACATTATCACTGTTTTTGCAGAGGTGCTCAGAATACAACAGTTTAGAAGCATACACATATAAAGATACATAACATATCCCTCCAAAATGCGAATATCCCAAACCCTTCCTTTAAAGTGCAGGCATTGTACTTCCCATTTCCAGGACTCAAGTCCGACTATATGAAAATAACCGGTTTCCCTTAATCCCTTCACTAAATATTACCCTGCTCACACTCCAACAGATCGTCAGGTCCCAAGTACCATTCGTCTCCATTCACTATCTAACACGCTCACGCACGCTTGCTGGAAGTCCAAGCCCCTTGCCCACAAAACCTCCTTTACCCCCTCTCTCCAACCCTTTCGAGGACGACCCCTACCCCGCCTTCCTTCCCCTATAGATTTATATGCTTTCCATGTCATTCTACTTTGATCCATTCTCTCTAAATGACCAAATCACCTCAACAACCCCTCTTCTGCCCTCTGACTAATACTTTTATTAACTCCACACCTTTTCCTAATTTCCACACTCCGAATTTTCTGCATAATATTTACACCACACATTGCCCTTAAACAGGACATCTCCACTGCCTCCAACCGTCTCCTCGCTGCTGCATTTACCACCCAAGCTTCATACCCATATAACAGTGTTGGTACTACTATACTTTCATACATTCCCTTCTTTGCCTCCATAGATAACGTTTTTTGACTCCACATATACTTCAACGCACCACTCACCTTTTTTCCCTCATCAATTCTATGATTAACCTCATCCTTCATAAATCCATCCGCCGACACGTAACTCCCAAGTATCTGAAAACATTCACTTCTTACATACTACTCCTCCCCAATTTGATATCCAATTTTTCTTCATCTAAATCATTTGACACCCTCATCACCTTACTCTTTTCTATGTTCACTTTCAATTTTCTACCTTTACACACATTCCCAAACTCATCCACTAACCTTTGCATTTTTTCTTTAGAATCTCCCATAAGCACAGAATCATCAGCAAAAAGTAACTGTGTCAATTCCCATTTTGAATTTGATTCCCCAAAATTTAATCCCACCCCTCTCCCGAACACCCTAGCATTTACTTCCTTTACAACCCCATCTATAAATATATTAAACAACCATGGTGACATTACACATCCCTGTCTAAGACCTACTTTTACCGGGAAGTAGTCTCCCTCTCTTCTACACACCCTAACCTGAGCCTCACTATCCTCATAAAAACTTTTTACAGCATTTAATAACATACCACCTATTCCATATACTTGCAACATCTGCCACATTGTTCCTCTATCCACTCTATCATATGCCTTTTCTAAATCCATAAATGCAATAAAAACTTCCCTACCTTTATCTAAATACTGTTCACATATATGCTTCAATGTAAACACTTGATCTACACATCCCCTACCCACTCTGAAACCTCCTTGCTCATCCGCAATCCTACATTCTGTCTTACCTCTAATTCTTTCAATTATAACCCTACCGTACACTTTTCCTGGTATACTCAGTAAACTTATTCCTCTATAATTTTTAGTCTCTTTTGTCCCCTTTCCCCTTTATATAAAGGGACTATACATGCTCTCTCTCCGCCAATCCCTAGTACCTTCCCCTCTTTCATACATTTATTAAACAAAAGTACCAACCACTCCAACACTATATCCCCCCTGCTTTTAACATTTCTGTCATGATCCCATCAGTTCCAGCTGCTTTATACCCCCTTTCATTTTACGTAATGCCTCACTACCTCCCCCACACTTACATTCTGCTCTTCTTCACTCCTAAAAGATGGTATACCTCCCTGACCAGTGCATGAAATTACTGCCTCTGTTTCTTCCTTAACATTTAAAAGTTCCTCAAAATATTCTCGACATCTACCTAATACCTCCATCTCCCCATCTACTACTCCCCTACTCTGTTTTTAACTGACAAATCCATACTTTCCCTAG